CCCCATCGATGTCCAAGGGTTGACGGATGTGATTTCTGCCCCGAAGTCGCATCGGATGAAGGCGAGGGCGTTGGACCGTTGAACACATGGACAGAGGGTGAGGTCTTCAAAGAACTCGAGGCCAAGGAAATCTCGCCTGAGGAGGAGCGGAAGTTGCCGAAGGGAATGACTGAAGAGGATTTCAAGGAGATCTTTCGAGATGTGGACGGCATCGTGGATTACAAAGTGATCTATGTGTCGAGACCTTTGAGATCGAGAACAACCAAGGATGTGCTGGAGGCGGTGCAAGATCTATATCTTCGCCTCAAGGCAGAAGGACTACCAGTTCTCCGGGTCCACGCGGGAGCTTCGATGTGGGGTGCTCAAGTCCTGGCTCCTACAAAGGGGAACGTACACTACATTTACCGAAGGCCAAAGTCCTCAAGCCAATGGAAGGGCCGAAGCTGCGGTCAAGTATGCCAAGGCTCAAACCAAGCGGCTGCTCATGGCGACCAATCTGCCGGTGGAAATATGGCCACTTGCACTGAACTACGCCATGTGGGCACAAATGCAAAGTCAGCTGCACCCAGATCGACAACTTGTCCCTTTCGGATCCAAGGTCCATGTTCGCACCAAGGTGTACGGAACCGGGGGCAAATACGATCTGCAATCTCGATGGGGTGTTGGGTCGTATGTGGGGCCTAGCTTGGATGTTCGAGAAGGGTCAGTGATCATGTTTGACAAGGGGAACTTCATCACGACGAACTACATGAGGCTTGGTTTGGTGGATGTGAATAAGGAGGTGGATTTGGGGGAGTACCAAGCGATCGTTTCTGTGCCGTCAAGAAGATTGAGGGAGAAATCTACACTGGATCCCACCGACTTTGAGAACCTACCTCAACCCCTACCCGTTCAGGAGGAGAAGGTGAGCGACAAATACGACCCTAACGATCCGGTTGAAGAATATGCCAGGGCAATCCTCGCTGAAGATGAGATCTTGAGGGATTATGTGGAGTCGCTTGCACAGCTCTTGCCCAAGGTTGGGGAAAAGCCAAGGAGGTTTGGTGAAAAGTCTGAGGAGGAGGGAATTTGGGTGTCCGGAGCTTTCGTACATGGTGGGGTCGTAGGCGTCACGAGGAATGCTAAAAGGCACCAAAGAGCAACCAAAGTGTTCGTCGAGTACCTGAAGAAGATGTGCCCTGGAACGAAGTTCAACAGCATCGCAGTGTTCAAAAGCGTCAAGGCGGAAGCTCACAAGGATTCGCATAATGTAGGGATGAATGTGGCCGTGCCCCTGTCGGATTTCGAGGGTGGTGACATCATGGTGAAAAGGAATGGGGAAGAAGTGCTGTTGAAGGTCAGTGAAGGTCCTCAATACTTTGATCCTCGAGAAGAACATCAAACTACCCCGTGGACCAAGGGCACGAGTCTGATCTTGGTGGGATATTCGGTGAGGGATAGCGCCAAGCTTAAACCCGAGGAAGCAGTGTTCTTGAAGGGGCTTGGTTTTGATTGGAATCCTCATCGAACAGAAGAACGCCGACAGGGAGCCGGGGCAAGAAGGTTGGCCATGATGAGGGCTGAGGTCTTGCCAGAGGAGAAGAAGGAAGTCACGGAAGCGAAGGCGATGGAGGAAATAACCATGAGCGTGAGCGACTTGGACATTGCCATCCAGGACCTGGAGGATCGAGCCGTACGCCTACGAGATCTTCTGGAAGAAGAGGAGATCATGGCAGAGCAAGCAGTCCGCCTTGGCCAAGCTGTTCGTGAAGAGCTAGGAGGGACAAGGGACTATGTCTGCCAGTACTTGGACGAGATCCACAAGCAGTTGATGCAGTTCCAGAGGATGAAGGAGTCGAGGTTTCTTCGTGCAGCGCGCCAGCAGAGTCAGGAATCCGAAATGGACTACGAAAAGCTACTGGACGAGCTGGAAGGGGACCTGGATATCGTCCATACTGTGCCTTTAGACCAAGTGAGGAAGGTTTTGGACCGATGGATTGAGGCAATTCGAGCTGAGGTTCAGTCGCTAATGGACTCCGGGACGATCTCCAAAATTTCATGGAAGGCCGCCAAGGAGATGGAGGAACGAGGGGAGCTAAGAGTGGTTCCATCAAAATGTGTTTTTACACTCAAGCCTCCGTCACGACCTGGTGCAAGATGCAGAAGGAAATGCCGACTTGTGATATGTGGAAACCACATTGCCAAGGATGAAGCCAGTGAGCAAGCGGATCTTTATGCTTCAGGAACAAGCACGGATGCTTTGAGGTTGGCATTGACGGTGGCGGCTTCAATGGCTTGGCTGGCGGCGATAGCCGACATCACGGCTGCATTCCTTTTGGCAGAGTGGCCCGAGGGTATGGCAAAGTATGGCCTGGTACCCCCGAAGGTGGTCAAGGATGGAGGCTATCCTGGTCAAGACATCTGGGTGGTGCAACGACCGTTGTATGGGCTCCGAGAGAGTCCAGCGATCTGGGCAGAATTTCGGAATGCCAAGCTCAGGACCATCAAGATCATGATCAGAGGAAGAAGGCTGGGCCTGAAGCAGATGGTGTCGGAGTCGGAGCTATGGCTACTACGAGATGAAGAAACCCATGAGCTCTACGGCATCCTTGTCATCTATGTCGACGACCTCATGTACCTTGCCGAGGAGTGTGTGATACTCGAGCTGCATCGGGCAATTCGTGCTCTATGGGCCACATCGGAGCTGGAGTGGATCGGAAAGAATAAGACGGTTCGCTACTTGGGAGTGGAAGTTCGGTGGGACCAAGCCAGCAGCGCCTTCTGCATAAGCCAGCAAGCATACATCACCGAGCTGTTGCGTGCACACAACATGCAGGGCACAGTGCACACACAACTGCCAGTACCAAAGGAATGGCTGGAGGTTGGGGAGGATGGTGGTGATGATGTGCTGAAGTTTTCGGATGAAGATCTGAGGCGAGGACAGAAGGCTGTCGGCGAGGTTTTGTGGCTGGCGATGAAGACACGCCCAGACGTGTTGTTCGTAGTGAATCACATGGCGGCAAATGTAGCGAAAAGGCCGGTGCATGTGGAAAAAATGGGGCAGAGACTACTCAGCTATCTCGCTGGAACGGCAGATTTGGAGTTGGTTCTGCGACCTCCGTCTTCAGGAGAGCCCTGGGAAATGGCATGCTACACGGACGCATCGTTCGCTCCATATGGGGGAAGAAGTTTTGGGGCAACAGTCATCGTCTTTGGCCATGCTGCCATTTCGTGGAAGGCTGGCAAGCAGTCGTTTGTGACGATGTCGACGATGGAATGTGAGCTGTATGCCGCAGCTCAGGGGTACAGGAGATCAACCCAAGACCTTTTGCCCGAGTGCTTGCTGTCGACAACAGTAGTGCTGTGGCGATGTGCTCTGGGGGCCAAGGCAGCCAAAGGACTAGACATCTGAAAGTGAGGGCCAGTTACGTAAGGGAGGCTGTGGCCGAAGGAAGACTTCAAGTACGACACACACCTGGAGCGCTGCAATTAGCAGATTTGGCGACAAAAATGCTGACGAAGGACCGATTATGGGAACTTCTGGGACTGTGGGGTTTCATTGGCGGAAAGCTGGCAAGGATGGCAGAAGCAATAAAGGTGAGGGCGATGGCTTTTATCATGATGCTGGTGTCTCTTGTGCAGCCGGCTGATGGAGAAACTTTTGCAGGCAAAGAAGCAATCCAGATGTCGGGGACGATGGAGCTCCTGGTGGTGAGCACACTGTTGTGTGTAGCTGCCATCGCCTTGTGGGAGTTCCTGAAGTTCGCAGCCAAATGGTGCATGAAGCAGTACAAGACGACAAAAAAGGCAAGAAAGTTGGAGAATGTGCGAAAAATGGCGGCAGAAGCCGCAAAGAAGGAAGTGCGAGAAGTTGGGAGATCCAACGTGACTGAGACCGTAGAGCCACCTACCTTGACGAGGAGATCTGCTACGACTACAAGCTTGGATCGGGAACGAACCCCAAGTCCATCGACTCGCACAACTCCACGACCCAGCCCGGGCAGTTCCAGCAGCAACCACAGTGAACAGGATAGGCCGAGAATCATCCAGGACACCCTACTTCTGATGACGGTGGAATCCCTGAAGGAGGGACTGCGGTGCTTGGGGCTACCTATTAGTGGTTTGAAGACTGACCTTGTGTTGAGGTTGGGAAGAGAGCTAGGGTGGGAGGAGCCAAGCCCACAAAGCGTGCAACCGACGACAAAGCAGCTCAAATACGTTCTCTGGATATGGCGAAGGAGAAACTTGAATGGTCGTTGCATTCTGAAGTGGGATAGCTTGGCAAGTCGTACAGCGATTTCGCAGTGGATCGATGCATGGAAGGACGCATGATGACATCGTGGAGAGGAGAAGATACTCGGGGGCCGAAGGCCTCGAGTAAGGAGGAGTGTGGAAGCATGATCCCCACGAGACATCACCGGAATTCACTATATCATCGGCGCTCATGCAGGCTCACAGTGCAAGCATGTGCTGGTGTAAAGCAGGACTTTGCAGGCATAAAAACCATGTCTTGCAGAACTTTGCAAAGCAAGGATACGTCTTGCAGACTTTGCACAAGGAGCTATAAGCACAGCATGTAAAGAAGAACCATGTGCTTGGCTGGTCGTGTAAAAGGTGCCTTTCTCATTTCCGTGATGGTTTGAGCTGTGCCTATCGACTGGGCCATCGATCTTCAAAACCCTATAAACCCTACAAACCACCCTATAAACCCCTATAAACCCTATAAACCCTATAAACCCCTATAAACCCTATAAACCCCTATAAACCCTATAAACCCTATAAACCCTATAAACCCCTATAAACCCTATCAACCACCCTATAAACCTCTATAAACCCTATAAACCCCTATAAACCCTATAAACCCTATAAACCCTATAAGCCCTATAAGCCACCCTATAAACGCCTCTAACCCCTTTAAACCCTATAAACCCCTATAAACCCTATAACCCCTATAGGCCCTATAAACCCTCTAAACCCCTATAAGCCCTATAAGCCCCAAACACCAAGCTGCTGCAATGGAGGTGGGTGCATTGCGCAGTCCGTGCGCCGCATCCTCGGCAGCGGCGAGGTCCCTGATGGGAGCCTGTTGGAGGGGGTGCCTTTAGAGTAGGGTTTAGGGTTTAGGGTTGAGGGTTGAGGGTTGAGGGTTTAGGGATTAGGGATTAGGGTTTAGGATTTCTGTAGGGTTTAGGGTTTAGGGTTCAGGGTTCGGGGTTCAGGGTTGGTTGAATTCGGGTCCAGGGTTCAGGGTTTATAGGTTTAGGGTCTAAGCTGCCTTCTTGATGCTTGCATGTCTGCCCACTGCTTCAACCTTCGGTACCTGCAGCCAGGGGCTGCATCCTCTATGGATCCGGCGACCCAGAAATCGGGTTTAGGGTTTAGGGTTTGGGGTTTGGGGTTTAGGGTTTAGGGTTTAGGGTTTAGGGTTCACGCCCCTTTATAAAGAGAGCGCCCCCCAAACAGCAGTAGACCAGAACTCGTTTGAGAAGGCCCGCAACCACGAGTCTGAGGGGAACCTTGGGGTAGGAATCTGGACCCTAAGCCCTAGAAGCCCTAAATCCTAAAATCCCTACACTCCTAAACTTCGAAACCTTGAACCTGATTAGTAGGGGTTCCCCTACACCCTACACCCTGAACCCTAAACCAAGAACCAAAAAACCCTAAACCCTAAACCCTGAACCCTGAACCCTGAACCCTGAACCCTAAACCCTAACCCTGAACCCGAAACATGCTAAGACGCCAGGGCCCCGGCGATGGTGACACCGAGCGACGACAGTGCTTCAGCTCAGCTAGGTAATCTAGGGGCTTAGGGTTTAGGGTTTAGGGTTTAGGATTAGGGGTTGGGGTTTAGGGTTTACTGTAGGGTTTAGGGTTTTAGGGTTTGAACAATTAGCATAAGGGTCTTAGTCTTGGGGGGTTATTATCGTAGAATTCTACCCTTTTCGTACTTATTCCGACCCCTATATTGGGCCCTTGGGATGTACCCTAAACCCTAAGCCCTAAACCCTAAACCCTAAACCCTAAACCCTAAGCCCTAAACCCTAAACCCTAAACGCTAAACCCATGACCATGTCTAGGAATATTTTTTCAAAAGGGTTTCTAGAGCCAAGTCAGCGTAGGCTGTTGGCATGCCAGGATGGGCTTGGGTGTTTGGGGTTTAGGGTTTAAGGGTTTAGGGTTTAGGGCTTAGGGTTTAGGGCTTAGGGCTTAGGGTTTAGGGTTTAGGGTTTAGGGTTTCGGGTTTCGGGTTTCGGGTTTCGGGTTTAGGGCTACTGTGCACCCAGCATGTCGGGGCTTTACCTCCACTGTTACATAAGTTTTTGGCAGCCAAGGTGACCCAAATGCACATCTCCGACTTCTCCAAATTACTTCAGAGCCCCCGACAATTTCCCGAATATTCTTCCTTTTAAGGCTATTATAAGGGTAACATTGGGCTCATTTTTTATTTTGGATTTTTTTTTTTGGGGGGGGGGGTCTTGAGCAAACAGCCGATTATGATGCCCTTTTGGGGGTACCCTTGATTCAGAAGGACAACAACCCCACAGGAGAGCCAGAAACGCCGAAGCCCCAAGCCCACAAACCCTCAAGCCTATCGACCCTAAACCCCAAACCGTATAAACCCCAAAATCCCTAAATCCATAAATCCCTCAGCCCTAAACCCTAAACCCGAAACCCTCGTCCCCCACACGATTCACCTAGATTTATGGATCTGAGGCCGGAAACGTCCACGCTGACCAGCACGCTCACGAGCACGAGCACCTACACCTCCACACTGCCCCTGGGCTTCGGGGGTTTAGGGTTTCAGGTTTAGGGTTTAGGGTTTAGGGTTTAGGGTTTAGGGTTTAGGGTGTAGGGTGTAGGGTTTAGGGTTTAGTGTTTATAGGGTTTAGTGTTTACAGGGTTTAGGGTTTGGGGTTTAGGGTTTAGGGTTTTGGAGTTAAGGTTTGGGTTTCGGGCTCAGAGTTTCGGTTTTGGGTTCAAAGGGCTTTGAACTTAGGGCTTACATGCTTAGGCTTGGGATCCTTTCGTGTTCGGCCCAGGAGTCTGTCAGAATTCGAGAGGCCGTCCCAATGTCATCGGACCCCTACCGTAGGGGCCTTATAGTAGGTAGAATAGGGATTTGGGGGTCAGTAGAGTATAATTACAAAGGGAGCAGAAGGGAATACTATAAGTACTTTACATCACTCGGAAGGCCCTTGGCATTCTGCATTTTCCCTTCCCAACCCTAAACCCCAAACCCTAAACCCCAAACCCTAAACCCTAAACCCCAAACCCCGAACCCGAAACCCTGAACCTTGACGCCCCCCAGGTCTGAACTGCCATGCTGGAATCACATCCTCGGCCCCCCGGGGGCCGACTGCAACGAGACCTGTGCGCGCTACGAGGCTTCGGCACGGCAGCCTTGTTGGGTTTTGGGTTTAGGGTTTGGGGTTTAGGGTTTAGGGTGGGGGGGGGGGGGCATTGTTCAGCACCCTTACCACTTGAGATGTTCCCTTATATTAACAGTCCTTAATAGGGATTATCATAGGGGGTACTATAATCCCTGTTCAGGGCTGTCACTCTAGGGGGGAACATTCCAACTTACCACTCTCTCCCCCCAAGCGCAGTAAAAGACTTGAACTTCTTCAAATTCTCAGCCTTCTGAAAGATGCCTTCAGTTAAGAGCCTGAACGCCCGACCCTAAACCCGACGCCTAAACTGGGAAGTCCCAAGAAACCCCAGAACAAGGCACGCGCGCCCCAAAACCCAAAACCCAAAACCCAAAACCCTAGACCCTAAACCCTAAACCCTAAACCCTAAACCCTAAACCCTAAACCCTAAACCCTAAACCCTAAACCCTAAACCCTAAACCCTAAACCCGCAGGGCGTTTGCGACCCCAACGTGGTGGACGGCTTCACCTTTGCCACGCGGCCACGGATAAACCTTGAGAACCCCAAGCCTGCTTCATTCCTAGGCCCTAAACCCTAAACCCTAAACCCTAAAGCCCCATTAGAGGCTGTAGGAACGCCCGAAGCCCTAGACCACAACCAGTAGATGGGCCTAGAGTTCTCAAGCTTCTGACACCCCTCATCGAATTGAGGTAACCTACCAACAAGTACGTAGGTGTTGGCCCCTAAGCCCTAAACCCTAAAACCCTAAGCCCTGAACCCAAAACCCTAAACCCTTTGAGGTCCAAGGTTGTCGGGGGCAGTTGCTGTGGTTGGGGCTTAGGATCTTAGGTGTGATTTAGGTACCATGCATGTCCCCACCAAGACCGGAAACCCAACCCCGTCAAGCATCGTTTAGGGTCTATAGGCTTTAGGGTTTAGTTCTAGGGCTCTTCAGGGAGGGGGAGTTCAAGGGTGGGTATGTCACCCAAAGGTTCCCAGCACTCCCTAAGGCTCCCTAAGCTTCCCTAGGTACCTTCCCCCTTTGAACCCCCGTTCTTGGGATGTTGACCGTTGTACTAACAGCCCTTGATGTGGATTATAATCCGGGGGTACTATAATCCCTATTGAGGAATGTTAGTATAAGGGGAACATCCCAACCCCTCCATTAAGAACCGTATAATTTGGGGTTCGCCCTAAAGCCCTAAAGTCAAAGCCAACTTTCGTCCGCTGGATCAAAGTCGGAGTGAAGCTTGTTGAGCTGAAGGAGTTGAAGGAATCAGGGCTGGGTTTAGGGTTTAGGGTTTAGGGTTTAGGGTTTAGGGTTTAGGGTTTGGGGTTTAGGGTTTGGGGTTTGGGGTTTAGGGTTTGGGGTTTAGGGTTCTGTGATGGCCATGGCTGGATGATGTGAAACTTCGCTCGGGCACCCTTTTTATCACCGCACAAAGACAACCAGAAATGCCAAAAGCTCTTAACGCCTACATGATTCTCGTTAAAAAGAAAGTATGATGGCACTTAGATTCAGGAGCCCTAACCCCTAAACCCTAAGATCGCACCTGGATGGCCTGAGCAGCTGTCGGGTTGTTCCACTCGTGTTGAACCTCCGCGCACACTCCCCCTGATGGCAGGAGCCTTCACACGCTGCAAGGAGGGTAAACCTTATGAATTATTTTACAGGCATGCCTATGTTTGATGCCTACGGCATCGGCTGAAGGATTAGGGGCTTACTATATCATGGCAGGTATGGGAGTTATGCCCTCCAGGCATTAGGGTGCAGGCGGTGACCCAAAGCGACCAAAGTCTAACAGTCACATACCTCTGCAACCCGAACCGACCCATACAAACCTTAATGGAAGCCCACCTATTTACAAATCACCCAAAGTGCATGCAGCAGCTCACTGCTGCGGACAGCAACCTGGTGGCTGGTCTATACATGCTGTTGCACACGTTAACATGCTTTGGCAAAGGATTGAGCACCAGGCCGGCTGCCTGTGCTATGTCACGGACAAGAGGACATCGAAAGCGATGGAAGGTATGACCGGACCCACAACGACTGCAGTCTCACAGTCCGGTCACACCGGATGTCCTTTTGGCATAACATCTGAAGGTCAGGGCTCGGGATGCTTGCGCAGCAACAAGAGGCAACTGAGAGGGGCAACGCACAGCTATAATCGGACCCACAACGACCGCAGTCTCACAGTCCGCACAGCTTGGCAAAACTAACCCAAACGGCCTACAAGGACTGCCCAACTATTCGAACCGAACCGAAAACCGAACAAAAAGAAACCCTTAAAACACACCCTAGTACCCGAACCTACACCACCCTCTGTGCATCTGCGGTGGTAGTTCGCGGTGCAGCTGGAGCTCAAAGCCCCGAGGTGTCAATCCACTTCTGAAATGCTCATCAGCCAATTTCCGACGAGCTCGTGATACACATCTTGTTGTCGCTCTGGAAGCTGTTCCCAGTCAAACCTCAGGTCATTCTGATACAGGAGAAAAGCCGCCCTTGCAAGCTCATCGTCTCCGTCGTCAGATAGCTCCGGCTGTAATCCCGGAGCTGCATCGTCTATGTATATCCCAAGGGGCCCAGCTAGACCCGTTTGTCGCCGCAGATAGTCTCGGTATGCCAGGAATGTCCCTCGGGCGTGCGGCACTGACCACTTGAAGTCAGCTGACGCCAAATGCCATGCCCAAGTTCCCGGCTCATCTGGACCCAAGTATGCAATCATGAGTATGCCGTTCAGCGACAGCACGTTCCTCAGTGAGTTTGCCAAGGTTCCATCGTTCTCCATAGATGCTGCAGGTGAAGGATTGTAGTTGTTCGGATCAACCCTAGCACGCTCGCTTGGTGTGAGATCCATGTAAGGGTCGTAAGGGTCGGAGGCCCCCATGACATAAGCAGAATCATCCACTTCTTCGAGGCCTGGTTCTGGTTGTTGCTCATTTGTATCCGTGCTGCTGTCCTCGGACACCTCACCAAGTTCAGGGCGAACTCTCACTTGAGTTCGCTCATAAGCCTCCGCCACCAGGTATGTCCATCCTCCAGCTAACACCCGAAGCCAGAACACCTGAGCAGCATTGGGATCCAGCAGTCGCCGCACGAGTCCTCCCATTCTGCAAAGAACAGCACGTAGTCCATATGGGCCGACCATCACTTCTGGTCCTAGCTCCTGTTCAGGTTCCCCTACACTGCCCTCCTGATCCGTTCCAGCATCACTCAGCTGGACAGGCGCCGTTGCTACGGTCTCAAGAAACCTCTCCAGGTTTGCTTCCAAACGTGCTTCAGAAGCTAAGGCTCGCAGGAGCCTCAGTCGGGTATGCTTCAACTCCTGTCGCAGCCACCAGAACCCACATCCAAGAAGTGTGACTGCGCAAAAGAGGGTTCCCAGAAGGAATGGGAAGATTTGCACTTGCGGATTCCAGCTCACGAACTGTTGTGCTCGGACGGCATTGACACAGTTGAACAGCACAAGCAATCTGACCGCTGTTGATGGCAGGGCAGGCATATTGGTGGAGTCCAAGGCGCTTGACTGCTTCTTTGTTTTAGGATTGGACCTTTCAGTAAATTTCAATTTTGGTAACCCCTCTACACCCAACATCTTCATAAGCTCTGCTAACTTTTGAAACATCATGGGCTTGGTCATAATATCAGCGGGCATAAATCTCCCAGGGATGTGATGGGGCCTTATTAGATCTTCGATTAGTTCATGAAAATATCGGCATCTTAACCTCAGGTGTCTAGTTCGCCAGGCCCCAGCAGGGTACAATAGGACACTTTGACATGATACGCTATCCCCATACACAAACCATGTTGTTGCCTTACCTAACATTTCATCGACCAACGGCTTGAGGGCTTGGGTAAAGGACATCCCGTCTACTGCCGCTACCAGCTCGCTTTCCGCGGTGCTAAGTGTGATGAACCCTTGGGTCAAGGTAAGCCATCCTAGGGGTGCACCATTTAGGGTAACGATAACACCACTCTGTGACCGACCATCCTGTTGACCGAAGGAGGCATCTGCATATGTGCACAAGTCTGAAGCAGCAGGCTCTTTCACAAGGGATTCTACGAAATCCTGTGGCAAAGGAAGCTTCGGTCCATATCTCAGCACAAGGTCGACGGTTGCCAGGAGGTATCGAATCAACTGCTTGCCTGCTTGCAAAACGTACTTGGGATACTTTAACACCAGCTTGCTCAGTCTATTCACTGAAAAGGAAATATCCGGTCTAGAACGGTTGGCAACCCAGGTGAGCTCTCCTACTACTTTCTGCCCCAAGCGAATTGCGGACACTTCTACCTCTTCAGGTTCGGGGTCAATTCTTAGGTCGGGCAAGTGTAGAGATGCAGTCATCTCAGGGTATCTACTTGCTAAGTCCTTGATATAATCTGGCTGGCCTACATGAAGCATATCCCCTTTTTTCCAAATTTGAAGACCGCAAAACTTTAGTCCTTGCTCATCTGTCGCAAATGCTGGCGCAGAACACGTCCATATGCCCTGCACAGCTTGCATCGCCTTTTTAAGCTCTGGGGTATCAGCCATAAATAACAAGTCATCAACGTAAACTCCCAAAGATCCTTTGATGCACTCCTCTACAGTATCCCAGATAAGCCACATGGATACATCGGACTTGGTTTGCACAAGACGCATAGTGTGCCCGGTAGCCCCCTCCCACGTAACCGACCTCAGCTTCTTATCCCTGTCAAGAGACCAGGAATGCGGCGATTCTTGCAGCCCATATAATGCGCCATAGACTCTAAGCCACGATCCCGAAGGGCACAACCCTGCCTGGATCATTGCCCGGGGGACCCGAACCACCACTACTTTCCTTTTCCCAGGACGTTCAGAAATGCAGTTTTCACATCTAAAGACCCACAATTCCAGCCATACTGGGCTCCTACGCCTAGTTGGGTTCTTAGCGACAGGGTATCCATCCCGGCTGAGTATAGATCCCGTCTATCAAGGGTAGGGGATCCCCGATCTTTAGGCCTATGCAAGAAATTTCCGCATGCTACCAGTCGTGCCTTTTTCTTATTAGGGGGCTTTATTACTGCAACAATTTTCCCAGGCAGACGGACCACATGAAGCTCAGGGTCCGCTTCTAGTGCTCGGACCTCGTCCTCTGTAATCACGCCAGTTGCCTCATTAACCTCTGTCAAAGAGAGCAGTTCCGCCTCAAGTGCAGGTGTCCAAGATTTTATGTCTGCCATGACATCTGTAATGGAAACAATTTTTGTTTGCCACAACTGCTCCCCTTCTTCTACAGTTATTGAACGCAGACTAACATCCTGGTTTTGGAGTTTTGGGGTCCCTCTATTTCAGGGTCGTAGTTTTCACAGCTGGCAAGATATTCCAGGTCACCCTCAAGTACTTGAATCTCTGCATTGCCCCTTGCTATCAAGTTCGCTGTAGCCTCAGCCAAGACCTGGCTTCCGGCTTGCATGTCCTTTGCCAGCGCCGTTTCTTGGTCCTTTAGGGCTGCTATGGCTGCAAGTCTAAGGCCTTCAAGACGCACCCTTACATCCTCCTCATCTCCTTC